ATCAAGCCGTTTGGCCTATGGCAGGGCAGGATGAAGCCAGGCAGGAAAATCCAAGAAAGATAGACAGGAAGAGAAAGGAGAGGCAGAGAGACACCAGCCAGACACCCAAGGAGCAAAATGCCAGCAGACTGGTAAAACCATGGAACATGTGGCAAAACATAGACTAACTGAAATGGGCTAATTTAAGATATAAGAGCAAGAAGCCTGAGCCATTAGGCCATACAATTGATAATTAATATAAGTCTCTGAATGATTACTTTAGAAGCAGCTGTGGGACCTCAGGGCCAGCAGGACCCAGAGAAACTTCTGGCTAAAAATGGCACCCAGACATGGTGGCAAGAGTTTCCACTTAAAACCTGAGATAGCGTAAGAACAGATTATAAATGTAGCTAACAGCACATTCCTAGTTCATGTCACTCATGGCTGTGGCAGTTTGTGGCATGCAGGATTGAACTACATTATGGCGGATTCCTGCCAAGTTACATAGAGGTTTCTCCAAACCGTGCAGGGAACTGCATGGCAGATTTAGCTTTGCTAGTATAAACAAACAAACAACAACAACAACAACAACAAAAAAAAGGTTTCTGGGCTATACACTGCTTTGATGGAGGCTTCCACCAAGAGTTGGTGGTGCACATGGCTCCCAGAGCTGGCGGTAAATGTACCACCCCCATATTGGAAAGCTGAAGTGGGCGGTATCAGCAGCCACGGCTTTTGCTTCAGTACTAACCACTGCAGTTTAAAACAATAGATTCACAATAAGGCAGATTCAGATGGAATAAAACTTTAAATGGTTTAGAGTGTTTGTAAAAATGTACGTAGGCTTGGAAGAGAGAAGAAAATGAATATAGACAGTTATATAAAGAAACAGTTTTAAAAATAAGTATTTAAAGAGACAGTAAAGGTAATATAAAAAAATAAGCCACATAAAGATGGATAGTACACAGAGAGTCTGGATTGTGTTGTCTTTGGGATTTTTAACTGCAGAGGCATTTGACTGTAAAGGCTGCTCAGTTTATATATATATATTTTAAGGTCTCTCAATTTCAAAATGTATGTCTAAGGATACATTGCTTTGGAAAAGAGGTTCTGCTTTTGTTTCCACAGAAGATGAAAACCTGTGGATTGCTTCCAGGTCATATGGTTTGATCAGCCAAGACCCCTGAAAGGTCTCCGAAGACACCATGGCCCAGATGATCTAAAATCCAGAACGGCTCCAATGCAACTGGCTCAGACAATGCAACGTCACAGACTATTCCAGTCAGGACTTGACCATAATTCTTAATTTTCCCAGGATCCCCATAAGATTGCCAGCTTCCTCAACCAGCAGGAAGTAATATGAGAAGTTACACCCAAATTCCCAAAATATTGTTTATAAATGTTTATTTTTATTTAAAGGGAGTTGATTATAAATGTAATCTCTTTCTAAAGAAGAAAAAGGGATAATATAGATACAATAGGATGAAAGGGTAGATTATTGAATCTACTTTTAAAGAGCAACAACTTGTTTGAAATGTTTTACATTGCTATGGATTTTAGTTTATTGACACAAATTTAAAGTTAATTTTGTTATACTGTATATATATTTCTACTTTTGTTTAAGGTATTATGTTTGTGCAGCTCATTTGAAATTGTAATGTATAGTTAAGAAATACAAATTAATATAGTCAAATTTGTAGTCATGTTAGTTAAGTTTTTCAGATATATAAAGATACATTTCAATTAGGTAGGTAATCTTCAAGTACTTCAAAGACCTACAGAATATGGCATTTAAAATGTTTTAAAACCTTAGACTTGCCTGGACAATGAGACACATCTGCTCCTGGCAGCACCAATTACTTCAAGGAGGAGGATGGGCATTGAAGAAACTCATTATGGAATTTGCTTTCTTTGTGGCAAAACTTAACCACTGGGCAAAAAAGTGCCCTTGCATTGACTGAATGACAATATGTTGCAAAAACTGGACAAGTAGGACCCATAAGAAGGTGACCACTGAACTTTGCAAGGTGAGATGGTCCCTTCAGGTTCATGCATCGCAGAAGAAACTGCCAAACATTCTACAGGACACAGAGAGAAGCAACTGAGAGACTCTAGACCTATGGGCTGAACAAGGATGCCCCAACGTTGCAGAGGAACTTTGGGTGATTGTCCAGGCAGCCAGCTGTCTAGATTTTTGGAAGTTGCTTACAATGTACTTCCTGTTTACTTAGGTAATAATATAGCCTTCTGGGATCTTTGATGTAGTTGAAGACTAGATAGTTATAATTTTCTTTGGTTATGATAAAAAGATAAGTTAGATATGAAACTCACAAATACAGAATAAATAGAATATTTTCTTTGAATTTGCCAAATATAAACAAACTAAATATTGTAACTGTAATTCCTGCTTGATAACTGTTTTGTTATATGTAATTTTACTAGGTTAAAGTTAAAACCTTCCTTTTTGATTAGAAAGAAAAGGGGAAGTGCTGTGGGATATCTTTCTGTACACTGTGAATATGTGTTGCTCTGATTGGTTGATAAGTAAAGCCACTTGGCTTATGGCAGGGCAGGATGAAGCTAGGTAGGAAAATTCAAGGGAGATAGATAGGAAGAGAAAGAACAGGCAGAGAGATGCCAGACTGCTGCCCAAGGAACAACATGCCAGCAGACCGGTAAGCCACGGAAAACATGGCAACATACAGATTAATAGAATGGGCTGAGTTTAGTTATAAGAGCTGGCTAGCAAGAAGCTTGAGCCATAGGCCATGGCCATACAGTTCATACTTAACATAAGGCTCTGTATGTTTATCTGGATCTGAGCAGCTGCACGACCAGGCGGGACAAAGGAAAATCCTACACAGTGGGGGAAACAAAATAACGAAGTCTATAACATCATCATGATAGAGACCCTAACTAGAGTAGAACTAGAGGTAACACACCTTAGCACATTAAAGACTACATATGACAGACCCACAGTCAACACTATCCCAAATAAAAACTCAAAGAAATCTCATTAAAAGCAGGAACAGAACACCGATGACCACTATCCCCATACCTTTTAAATATATTACTCCAAGTACTACCTAGCATAAGAGAAGGAAATTAAAGGGATACAAACAGGAAGTCAAATTATCCCTATTTGCAGATTATACATAAAAGAGCCCCAAATTTCTACCAGAAAACGTCTATAAATGATCAACACTCACTGGGCATGGTAGTTTACACTCTTAATCCCAGCACTCAGGAGGCAGAGGCAGATCTCTGTGAGTTCTAGACAAACCAGGTCTACATAGTAAGTTCCAGGAGAGCTAGGGCTACATAGAGATCCCATCACAAAACAAAGGAGATCAACACTTTCAGCAAAGTCACGGGACACAATATTGTTCTAGAGTTACTATTGTCATAATCAAACACCACAATCAAAAGCAACTTAAGGAGAAAACACTCCCATTTACAATACTGTGAATAAACCTAACTAAGGAGGTGAAAGAACTCTACAATGAAAACTTCAAGTCTTGAAGAAAGAAAAAGAGGAAGACACTAGAAGATGGAAAGACCTCCCATGCTCATATGTTCACAGAAATTGTAGAAATAACTATCCTACCAAAAACCATTTACAAACTTAAAACAAGGCCAACAAAAACATACAGAATATTCTTCACAAAGTAAAAAAAGGAAAATCCTAAAATTTACATAGTCACAAAAGACCCCAAATAGCTAAAGCATGGGGGACAGGGAATACTAGAAGGATGCCTACATCAGACTTCAAACTATATCACAGAGCTATAAAGAAAAACAGCATGATACTGGCTCAGACACAGACATGTAGGTCAATGGAATAAAATAGAAATCCAGAAGTGACTACACATAATTAATAGCTATCTCATATTTGACAAAGATGCCAAAAATACACACTGAAGGAAGACAGCATCTTCAACAAATGGTGATGGAAAATTTGGATGCTCGTATGTAGAAGACTAAAATTAGAACCATATCTATCATCCTGCACAAAAATCAATTCCAAGTGGATCAAAAACCTCAATATGAAACCTGAAACTCTGAAACTACTGAAAGAAAAAGCAAGCAGTATCCTACAAGATATAGGTGCAGGAAAGGTTTTTCTGAATAGGACTCAATTAGCTCAAGAATTAAGGCCAAAAAATGGGGCCTCTTAAAACTAAAATGTTTCTCTCTCTCTCTTTTTTTTTTTTTTTTTTTTTGGTTTTTTGAGACAGGGTTTCTCTGTGTAGCTTTGTGCCTGTCCTGGAACTCACTCTGCAGACCAGGCTGGCCTCAAACTCAGAGATCCACCTGGCTCTGCCTCCTGAGTGCTGGGATTAAAGGCGTGAGCCACCACCGCCCGGCTAAAATGTTTCTTTCTGTATAGCAAAAGAAACAACTATGGAAGCCCACAGAGTAGAAATTTTTTGTCAGCTATAAGTCAATGGAGGATTAACATTCAGAGTATATAAAGAACTTCAAAAAACAGAGAATCAAGAAAATAAACTACCCTATCAAAACTTGGGCTATGAATTTAGTATCTTTAAAATTATTCAGTATCATTAGCAATGTGGGAAATGGAAATTTAACTACTTTGAGATTTTATTTTACATATATCAGAAAGTGAACATCAAGAAAATAACCAACTACAAATGCTGGTGGGGTGCAGGAAAAGAAGAAACCTCATTCACTGTCGGTGGTTTTACAAACAGGTATCATCATTACGGAAATCAGCATGGAGAATTCTCAAAAAGCTAAAATTAGATCTACTATATGGCCCAGTTGTACCAATCTTTGGCACATAGTAAGAATTGTTGGAGTGGGCAGAAGGTAAGGTAGAAATTATGTAAATACAGTGGTCATACATGAAATACTCAAAAAAAAAAAAAAACAAGATTAAAAAAATCGAAGTAGGATGAGGTCTTGGTGGGAGGAGAACTAGTGTGTTTGAAAAGGGATGAGAGGGAGGACCAGAATAAGGATTTGCGTGCACAGAGAAGCTTCTTTGAACTGCCCAGGACACTAACAATGGACACTCAGAAAAACGTTCAGCCCCCAAAGCAGCAGCCAGTGATATATATTTGTGGAGAGTGTCACACAGAAAATGAAATAAAGTCCAGGGATCCAATGAGATGCAGAGAATGTGGATACAGAATAATGTACAAGAGGACTAAAAGATTGGTGGTCTTTGATGCTCGATGAAAAGTGGGAATTCAGGCCGGGCGGTGGTGGCGCACGCCTGTAATCCCAGCACTCGGGAGGCAGAGGCAGGCGGATCTCTGTGAGTTCGAGGCCAGCCTGGACTACAGAGTGAGTTCCAGGAAAGGCGCAAAGCTACACAGAGAAACCCTGTCTTGAAAAAAAAAAGTGGGAATTCAGGAGTGTCTTCATTCATACATTTGCCCCATTGATGTTTCTCGTACAGCTTTTGACTTAGCTTACTTATGTCTACAACTGCAAACCTATGGTTTCATTTTAGAAATGTGATTGTATTTTGATACTTTGTATAAAGGAATTTTTGAATTAAAAGAAAGAGGATGAGAGAAAGCAGTTTTAAATAAAGTAATAAAAAGTATATACATAGAGTATTGTGCAGATACTGACTGGTACTTGTAGAGAAGGTAAATATTCTGGGAATGAAAGCTAAAGAAGGGCTCATAAATAAATAGTAATACACATGAACCAAGTAAAAATAGTGTCAGAGAAGCAGTAGAGGAGCCAGCAAGAAGAGATGGTTATCAGTGAGTAAAAACATTTACCATACAAGCCTGGCAACCAGAATGGATGCCCAGAACACGTGTGAAAGTGTAAAGAAAAGAACCCACCAGAGTGGTTTTCTGACCTTATACATGCACCATGGTAAAGAGCTTCTATCCCCTACCCTACATAAGGTACACACAATAATAATTCTTGAAGCTGTCAGTTCAGCTATTTGCAACTTGGAAAGAATAGTGAAAAGGGTGTACATACAGCATAAAACTTAGCCTTAGAGAAAAAGGATCATTTTTTTTTCTTTTCAAGTAGATTAGAATGGACTCAGAGAAAGCTTATTTATTTAGAAATAGAAGCAGAAAGCAGTTGAAGTATCATTATCTCCAATTATACATAGTGGAAAGGCAGAAGCAAATTCATTGTTGACAACATGATTGGAAAAAGCACAGGGACAAATAGCCAAACTAGTGGAAATGCATGAACTGTGAACCAATAGCTGAGGAGCCCCCATGGAACTGGACCAGGCCTTCTGGATAAGTGAGACAGTTGATTAGCTTGAATTGTTTGGGAGGCCCCCAGGCAGTGGAGCCGAGACCTGTCCTTGGTGCATGGGCTGGCTTTTTGGAGCCTGGGGACTATGCTGGGACACTTTGCTCAGCCTTGGTGTAGGGAGGAGGAGACTGGACCTGCCTCAGCTGAGTCTACCAGGCTGGTCTGACTCCCCAGGGGAGACCTTGACTTGGAGGAGGTGGGAATGGGTGGTGGATTGGGGGGGAGGGCTAGGGAGTGGGAGGAGGGAGGACAGGGGAATCCGTGGCTGATACTGTGAAATTAAGTTAATTATACATACATATACAT